GAACTCGATTATGCTCGACGATACCACGTCGCCACCGCTACCAGACGAGTCGTCCAGCAATCGGCTCTTGCTCGACGCGGTGCTCGATGTACCTGTGCTATCTACACCCGCCAGTAATGGCTTGGGTATTTTTCCTTTTCGCGACGCAGTGCCTGGATTAGAGAATCCTGGAAAACAGCAAAGTGCCCGCTGAAACAAGAAAGAAAGACCGCACGGGTTGCAGATAGGAGGCCGGGACCTGGAAAAGGGGTTAGTGCTCGCTGTATAAAACGCTCGCACATGCACATTCGGGAATACGAATTGATAGGAGACAAAGTGAGAGGAGTCAAGGAGGAATTAGTGGAACAATTCAAGAAAAAAAAAAAGAGAGAGATTAATTTGCAAAACGTGAGATCTATTTTGGCTATCTACTTGAGCACAGCTTCGACAAACAGTTAATATATGTTCGAATAGAATAAATAAATAAATAAAAAATTTTATTTGCACGCATATTTTTATAAAAGCAAAAGTTATTCGGAGAATGTCAAAGATAACACAATGTCAATGAATAAAAAAATAAAAATAAAATAAGAAAAAAATCATGTTAAGACACACACTGTTATATCAATTGCAAATAATCCCAATTAGAGAATAGTCTGGATGTAACGTCTTCTATTTCTCAATTGAGTCATTTGAATGCGATCATTTGAGTGGTTATGATCTCTTATTTGAAATTTCTTCTTTATCTTACAAACGTACACGCTAACTATTACTCATGATAGATTTAGAAAAAAAAAAAAAAAAAAAAAAAAAAAAAAAAAAAAAGAAAAAGAGAGAAAGAAAAAGCGATCGAGATAATGAACAATACACCAGAGAGTCATATACACTAAGTATACCTTCGTACATGTGACCTGTAATATTTTCATGATCAGCAACGAGTATTAAAAAGGTTGCTAAAGAACTCAAAGTATGTCAAATCGTCCGTAAATTAAGTCCATTGATGGAAAAAAAAAGAAAAACATTAATATGAACAAAATGTGATGTTAAATGGGCTATAGACAATGTGTATCATTAGAGTAAAATCTGATGTGATAGAGTCGCGTGAGATAATTAAATACTTAAAACTGTAATTGTAATTGTAATTGTAACTGTAATTGTAATTATGCGGAATAGTATATTCTCGTTATTCTGCGTACCTTGCTAAGCAGTTGAGAGTCCAGCTCTTTTAGTTGATCGTCGAGACTCTTATTAGTCTGCTCAAAGCTGCCCTGCTTCCTATACTTATAAGTATCTGCAACGCCATAAGAACCAGTGCTGCCGTAACCGCTGCCACTACCGAGTACGCTGCTTACTTTATGTGCAAAAAAAAAAACGAGAGAAGATATTGTTATATGTCTCAGAAATCAGAAAAGGAAACGAAGGATTATCTTAAATTGTATATAATATTCAAGGAGTGTTTTTTACCGAGTTCCGGCGTGCTAGTCAACGCAGTGTGATGATCCGCCGATGTGCTTGAATGAGACGAGTGAGCAGCAGGATAACTACCCACGCCACTACTGCTACTACTGTCCGCTTTGTCGTATGTGTGTTTCTGCAACACTCTAATCATGGCATCCCTCTCGGCCAGCTTGGATTCCAGATCCTTCATTCTATTAGAGTTCAAAATCAAGTATATGTATCAAGTAATGGATCGATTTGCGAATATAACAACATTATGATTTCGTTAAATATTAATAAATATTAATTTTCTTACCTAGATTCGAGGTCGGCCAATTTCTTTTGCGCTGCGTGTACCTCATCCATGTGCCGCATTTTCTCTGAGCGAGCCTCAGCGATTAATTTTTCCGCATCTTGACTGGTCTTTTCTAGAGCGGCAATCTTCGCATCTCTGATGATAAAGATACATACGTGTAAGAAGAAAGAATATATGTAACAGGAATAAACAAATCTAAATGATTTTACTCACTTTGGTAAACTAGCAGCATCGATGGCTGCTTGCCTTAACGCGCTCTCCTCGAGGTAACGCTGTTCCCATTTCGCGACGTCGCCCTCGAGCGACATGATCTTCTCATCCCGTTCGCGTAATCGTCGTTTTAGATCTGCGATCATTTCGCCACTCGACGTCTGTTCATTGCCATTGCCTCCGCCGCCGCCCCCACCTTCGCGCAACTCCCTTTCTAGCTGACCTCTCAATTTTCTTTCGGTCTCTTCTCGTCTATCGCTAGACGCTTGAAGTGAAGACAATGCTCGTTGAAGTTGGCCCACTCTCTCTACGTACACTTGTTTCTTTCGACACTACAATGGAAATATAATCTTTTAATTCAATGTCCACATTAATAAAGAGTGTTAATTATACACAAAATTTCTTTTTCTTATTTTTTTAAATAAATTGGATTTATAAAATTTATTAATGAATCAATTTACTTCTTCTTCCAACCGCACGACATTGCCTTGTGCGTTAGTCAGTGCAGTGTCTAGAATATCGATGTGCGTACGTTGCTCCTGCAAAGTAGCTCTCTGAGCAGCCAGCTCAATTTCCTGTCTCTCTTTCGCAGCGGTCAACTCTTTATCTAGAAAAGAACACATAGAAAAGAATAATAAAAAATCGTATCTGTAGCATCTTTACTCTGTGAACGTTAGTAATTGGGATTAGTCGTACTCTGAGTGATGAGCTGTCCGATAAGTAGCTCACGTTGTGTCAGCTCCTTTCGCATGGTTTCGACGATCGGCGGACTATCCGTACGTGCGGACAGCAGGTCGATCTGGTCTTTATACGCGCGATTTAGTTCGCTCAATCGACGGCATTCATTCTGCAACCTCATCCGGGCAGCGCGCTCCAGTTTCTCCCGTCGTTCGCAGGACGCAGCGAGTTCCTCGTGGACGCGGTGCACCTTCGCTATCTCCTGCTCGAGTTTCTGTGACTTGGCAACTTTGTTGTAGCAACGATCTAATTCTAATTTCAACGCGCTATTCTCCTGGATTATTATCTGAATCATCTCCGACGATGGCCACACCTCACCCGTTTCCCTTTCCATCTCCTCCCGTCCTTTAGTCTGCGGTCTAAATACCCAGATATTAGTCAAATATCTCACCAAAATGCGTGATACGTACACGCATAATCTACACGAAAAATATTACGTTACCGTGGCGACGTCGTTCGAAGATTGTAATTATCGATGTCCGCCTTATTGATCCTGGACAGATCGGGTTGCGATCGTGATACAGTCAGCTTCTCCATTGGTCCGAAGAGCCTGTATTTGTTTTTAAATAGCGTCGGTACGTAGCACGGTGTCGATCTGCCTTCATATTCGTTATCATTCTGTTTCCCCCTGTCGCTGTCTCGTATTCTCATCTCCAAACTACCACTGTTATTAGAGTACGGCGGCACTTTCACTTCCTTCGCTAAATGTTTCAAGACCTGCAAAGCACAAACCAAAAATAAATTTAGAAAATAACATCTTAACTGAGATGACTAGCTCACTTCAACATGTATTTAACAAATAAATTAATAATGGATTCTCTGAAAAAAAAAGAATGTTAAAAACAATAAGGTAAGTAAAAGTCAAGCACAGTACTTTGTTGTGCTAATATTAATTTTTATATAAATAAATTACCAAATCTAAAATATATCATTATCATTAATGTATATAAAGCGCAAAAAAACAAATTTCGAATATTTTGATTAATTTCTTAGCCATTTTTAACAGTGATATAATTAATAAAAGATAGAAATTTACATATTTAAACAATAATTAATAAAAAACGTCAACAAAAATATATACATCTTCAAATGAGTTTCTTCAAACGAGTCAAAGTCTTAAAAGACTAAATCTCATCTTGACTAAAGTCAGTTTACAATATTACTATATCTAATAAGTTAACTATATCAATTTTATTGTAATACATTATATTACGTAATTATTAATTCAGTATTCATTTATTATACTTCATACTGTATTATTCCTAGATAGATCATTATACCTGAGATTGACTAAGATAATCATCCGGGATATCTGTAATTTCCTGACAGCCACCGCCACTAGATTGCTCGTGGACATAATCCTCGTGCGACAGATTAGACAAGGATTGTACCGTGGGACTATTAGAATGGCCTTTTCCATTGCCATCACAATATAGATAACCCACATCTCCATGTTCCCTCACTAAGCCTGACAGCCTATTTAGACATACAGATTGGAGATTTGAAATAAACTCTAAAATTATTGATTAAAAAAATATATGCTTACCTTCCAGATGGTACCCATGAGTTGTCATCATTGGCATTATGTATAATTAAAGTATTATAAGAACTCGTCGAGACGTCCAGGCTGCTTCTGTTGGAACCCACACTGGTACGATTGCTCAAGTTGTCTTTCAAACTGTTCCGATTGGATCCATTGATGCTGTCCTTCAGACTGTTCCGATTGGAACCGTTTAAGCTCTCCTTCAAACTGTTCCTGTTCGATCCATTCAAGCTATCTTTCAGACTGTTTCTGTTATGTAGATTGCCCTGTATTACGACAAACCATATTAGTTTCCCATGATGGGATAACATTTTGAATTATAAAAGAAAAAAATTTATATAACTTCTTCTTTTGTTTGCGAGATTTATAATTTTGCTTTCAGTACCTGAATATTTGGTATGTTCTCCTTGTGACTGGAAGACCTGGAGGGACTCTGCTGCTGATTTTCTTGACCTTGTGGTTCTTGCCGAGCTGTATGCCTTATGACATACCTCTCTTCGTTGCTCAGATTTTCATTGGATGTGGAAACATCAGTCTCGCTACCACTCAAACTTTGAGGAAGACCGCCTGCAAAAAAATATACTGTATAGATACTTTTCTAAGGTGAAAATATCAATTTATACGGTGCAATAAATACTATAAATCATTAATATAATTTACAAAGATCTACCTTGCATTGACAATTGTTTCCTTTGTAAATTATTGTTTGAGAATGGAGTTAGGAATCTATTCCCTTGCTGTAGCGAGCTCATTTTCACGCGGTTCAGCTCATTTACGTGGATTGGTTTGCGTTTCGTCTGAAAAACAAAAGAACAGGAGACACTCCAGTATCCATAGGCAAGGGACAAAACATGAAGTTACATGGAAGTTACAGAGAAAATACGAGATGCCGTACGCGCAGAGCGCACCGTCGCAGGGATTTTACTGAATTTTACTCAGATGAATGGACTCGCACGCAGCTCCTCGGAGAGACACGGCGAGTCGTATAAATAAACAATGGGATGGCATCGTATCGTCATCGGGGTGTATCTGCCAAGCCAGTGGTCGCGCGAGGAATCGTCGTGCTCCTCCACGGAAATTGAAACGCGGACGCGATACGCGACGGGAAACCCGAGTCCACGAGCCTTCGTCTCGATCTCGATTTACTCACTCGATACAAAATTGTGAGAACAGAGAGCCGAACTCGTATTCGTGATTATTTTCGATAAATTAGTACACTCCACTTGTCCGTATAGGAGAAATAAAAAGGTCCGGTTCACGCATTCCTCGTCAGATCGCGCTACCAACGATCCGTGGCATTAAGTTGTACATAAGACGGTTAAATCCATAGTAAGGCTAATCATCAGGGCAAACACCACCCGAGTATCATTTTATCCTTGTTGTTTCCGAATGTTAAACCGAATGTCGTTTAAACAAGAATAAAATAATACACGAGGACGGATGATATTTTCCGAACGTAGCTTTGGACTCGTACTTTGAATCCGTTTTATAAAAGTATCTCTAAAAATGGCTCACAGTCAAGTCGGAAGATTCGAAAGCTCCTTTTAGAAAACACTTTTATTACGATAAAAGAAGATTCAGAATATAGGTCTTGGTACAATCAGGGGTAAGTTCAGAAACATCGAATGTATCATTTTATTCTTGTTATTCATCGAATTAAATAAAACTGAAATGATAACTGGATGCGCTCGAATGTTATTTTTGAATGCACTCCAGTACGAATACCTATAGATGCATTCCATTTTTTGTACGATGTGCATTATTTATCCTTGCTTATTATTGCATGTTAAAACAAAAGGATAGACGCTGCCTAGAACCCAAGAGAAATCCAATGTCCGATTTCACCAACGTAGATTAACCTTAATCTCGATTTAACTTGCTCTTCTTTCTCTAATTCTTGAACCGAGATTAAAGTTAATCTACATTGATGGAGTCGCATAAGAGTAGACACGACCGCCATTTTAATATAACCGCTAGATGCCAGAGAGACCCTGATTGTGTTTGAATATTATCGCCAGTATTGACAATATTAAAAATTATTATTAACTAGACGTTAATAACGTACTGTAACCGTATCTAATTCCGTCATGACGTCATAAACAATAGCTATATTTGCATTGCGATTACCGTAGCTCAAAAGCAGCAATAGTCGCAATTTGCAATACAAATATGGCGTCGGATAGTGAAAAAAAGATGGACAGAATGAAAACTGTAGATTTTTTACTTAATGCAGAAACAAATATATAAAGTAAATGAACAGTATAAAGTAAATGAAAAAGATGCATGTAAAGCAAGGACTGGTAAATAAAAGATATATAATTAATTTATGTATATTACTTTTCTAATAATAATAATAATCCAAAAATAATTTTTTTATAATTATATTTGGATGAATTGTAAATTGACTACATCCATTTGATTGTCTTTCTAATTTAACTGCCAATCAAGTTTAATAAATAATTATACATAATTACATCGCGTGATAATCTGCAATTAAATGTTGTTTTTATGATAAATATTAATTAATTCACATAAATTTTTACTTTTTCAACATTAAGTAAAATAATTAACATAAAAGTTAAGAACTCTCGTTTAATTTATTGCTATTACTATTATCGAAAATGATTTTTAAATTATGTATCTGAATATTCAGATACAATATTATATAATATATAATTTTTAATTCGTAGTCGATAAGTTTTTGGAAACATATTCTTTAAAAATTTTTATTCAGGGTTGAGTCCAGAAACAGAAACAGAACTGGATGTATCTTTTATCTGTGTTTTTCATCGAATATTAAACAAGGATAAAATGATACACTTGGGTATTATTTCTGAACGCATGTTATTTGTATCAATTAAAGCATTTATCACAGTCATACATATTAATATGGCAGTTTTTTATTCGTTATATTTATTGCACTGTTTTCATACATCAATTTTTTTATCTTGTTAATACAATATAATATTTACGCTAGCAGCAAAGAAAGTAATTTCGGAACTGGTAGTATACTGTTATGATCTTATCTTGGCAGTACTGCCAATAAGAAACGAACATAGCCCTTATAACTTATAATAGGAGTCTGGTCACAGTTTTATAATAAAGTGGCGTCTGTTGCGTCGTGAAACTCAACATTTTCATTAAAGTAAATTTTATATTTCTTTAATTAAAAAAAATATTCTTGTAATAAGTGTAATTATTGTATTAACCCGAAGATCATAGCGCATTATCAATGTAAACATTTTATATATATAAAGATGGTGATGGCCAAAATACGAATATGATAACTCGGATCGGGAGCACATATTTCTGCATAATGCATAACACTTAAGAAAATGAACCAATCATAGTCCATATCACCTCCATTTTTATACCCGTAATGAAAATGCAAGACTCTGATTGGTTGATTCTCTGCGTTATGCGTTGTGCGTTATGCCTTATGCAAAAAATATATGCCTGGAACCTTAGGTCTCTACTGTCTGTAATGACTATGTCAAACTTACGCTATTTTTCAATTGCAATTTTTAATTTTGATGATTTTTTTATAATCTTGACAGATATACACATCAATTATTACACTACACACGATATTTAAATTTTTTAAATTTAATTTCTGGATTATAAGGCTCATTCTGAATCTTTTTTTCGATGTGCTTATAAAAGTGGCTCACAGCTTGATAAATGATAACTAAAGAAGAGTTGAAGATTTAAATAGCATAATCAATTTATTGATTCCGAGTTCAGTCGAGCATAAGAGAAAAAAAGAGAGAAAAAGCATGAAATAAAAAGAGACAGAATTGAATCGAGTCAGTAAATCGAAAACGCGAGAAGTTGCTACCTTTCTATCTGAATAAACTTTACTCGAGAGACTATTCAGTTTCTTTTGTTTTAATGAAGAAAACGTATACTATGTCTAATGTGAAATATTTGATTTTGTTGTTTCATTCAGCTGTTGTTATTAGCGATGTAGGTAGGTCTTTATGAAAAGACGAAGACAAGTCGCGTCATAAACAATTTCATATATACACCAGTCCATAGTATCATTGCGATAGCAATTTCATATATACACCAGTCCATAGTATCATTGCGATAGCAATCGTCTTTTATCAATAAAAAAATTGACGTTCGTTATGTATCCCAGATTTTCTCGGCGGTTGTATCAAAAGTTCGTATCGTCAAGTTTTTTTCGTGAAAGCCGATATATAACAACAACGAATTGTCGACGATTTTTAATAGTTACTTCCAACTATCCGAATACAGACAGCCGTACGTTTCCTCTTATTTTTGTAATAAAGTTTGGAGATTTGAAGAAATCATAACTACGATTCCTTCAAATTTCTCAGAAACTTTTTGTACTTTTCTTTTTATTTATTTACACATATTGATGTTTGTTCATATTGACAGGATAGAGTATTATTGTTAATATTTGAAAGATTTTTCATGTAATGCTTATGATAATAAAAAATACATATATTTTTTCAGTAACACGGAGTTTGCATTCTTCGAATATATCGCATCAGAAAACAGACGTTCCAAACCTATATGAAAACGAAATGGCACTTAATGTCGATTATGAACAGCTTCTAGAGGCGCAGAAGGACGAGAATGTTTTGATTGTTGACGTTAGAGAGCATGATGAGATAAATGAGACTGGTAAATTACCAGGAAGCATTCATATACCAAGTAAGAACTTTTTGTTGCATGCAGTAATCTGAAAAGTTTACTGCACATTTCTCAAATATCATATTAATGTGTAAAATTATTATTTATTATGCTGATATAGAATGAAATAATATAATAATTGAATATATAATATAATTGTTTCAGAGGATGATGTCAGTAACGTATTCTTGAATCTTTCTGAGGAAGAATTTGAAAACCGGTACGGCAAACGTAAGCCCACTAAAGATACAAAAATCATATTCAGTTGCCGATCTGGCAGGAGAAGTGCTTGGGTGCAGGAAACAATGCAGAAACTAGGATATACTAAGTATGTTAATATCATTTGGAATTATTAAATAGAACTGCGATAGAATTCTAAATTTATTCTCTTTGTAGGGTTTATAATTACACTGGAGGCTGGCAAGACTGGGAAAGCAAGCAAAAGAAAAATTAACTGAATATTAAAGTGAAATATTATAACAATGGAACTATTATTATAATGTTGATATTTGGATATTTTCACTATTGCATTAACTTTAATATATGTTTTAACAATTTTGACACGTTCTATTATACAAAATTATAAAAGATACAATTTTATTTTGATGAAATAAATGTTGTCGTTTGATTGTCAAAATAATTGCATGAAAATTTAAAAAAAATGAATATTTATTTAAATATGTATATATACATTAACATCATTTTCTATATACATTATTTTGCACAATTTACAAGAGATTGAAATTACAGGACGCGCGCGCGTGTGTGTGGTCCTGTAATTTCATATATATATATATATATATATATATATACACACACACGCACACATTGTAAGAAGTTGCATCAATCTTTTATATATAGTATAAAATCTTCAACTCTTCTTCTCCTGTGCCATTTTTTTATGATTAATCATCTCTCTAAATTGTCCCAATATAAGATTCTCTCTTTTCTGCCGTTCCTCTTTGCTGAACATCGCCAAGGCACGCTTTTCGTCTGCGGAATAGATCTGATTTTCCTTACGTATACGAACCGCTTCCATGCGACGATGCCTTTAAAAAGAGATAAAGTAGAATGATATAGCTTTGACAAATACATTTTTAACTTCATTAACGAAATTCGTCGATATTTGAAAACACTGAGAAATTTTATTAGCAATAATCAAAACAAATTTCATATTTTTATGGATAATTAAAACAGGTCCTTTTTACAATTCATACAAGATTTCGACCAGTTATTATCATTCTGCAATGAACGTAAAAATACAAATTTTCAAAAATTTTATATAAGTTACCTGCTGCCACTCATGACGTAACCGACAGCTTCGTATGCGGCAATCTCTTCTGATGTGAGACCGATCTCGCCTCTCCTGGGTATACGTTTTCCTTCGGCTACATAAGCTGCCATTGCTGCACCTTCTCCTGGTAGTAATGCCTTGCCAAAATCTTTGGCTGAAAGAGTTACATGTGGTTTCGGAGCGGGTCCAACCATACCATCATCCCCACTATCATCTGAGCTTGAGCCTTTCTTTGATTTTGGCTTATCAGTGACCATGGTTTTTTCTATCCAGACTTCCTCGCCACTGCTATCGCTGTTGTCGCTATCATCAGAGCTATTACTGTCAGTCTCTTTCCTTGCTTTCTTTTTCTTTCTCTTTTCTTTCTTTGCTTCCTTCTTCGCCTTCTTCTCTCTCTTTCTTTCCTTCTTAGCTTTCTTCTCTTTCTTTAATTTCTTACTTTTCTAATGATTAATAATATTATTAATATTCTTTAATATAGATAAATATCATTTATTATATATTTTTTACCCAAAATCAATAATTAATCTGATACCTTCTTTTTACTATCATGCCTCTTTCTCTTGCGGTCCTTTGGTGAAGTAATATCCTTATGTCTGCTTAGATCTTCATCCTCCTCATCTGAACTACTGTAAATGAAAGAATAAATCAAGACTTGAATATTATATCATATATATCATTTTGAATCTAATATGAATCCATTGGAGCAAATTAGAATTTTTTCTCTATGTAAATATAAATTGCTAATAAATTACACGTCATATAATAAAACTCCATGACTTAAATAGAATTGGCTGCATTCAGCAGAGAAAGCAGATCAGTGAGCGCTTAGTGATTTTTCAATATGATTGGTGGTCTTTGCCTTTAGATGTTGAATGTAAGTGTAGAAACTAATCATAATAAAGAATCACTGAACGCTCACTGATCTGCTTTCTCTGAACACAGCCATTTAGGCCAAATTGACAAGTTAATTCACATAACTCTAATCTCAATTCTAACCTCACAAGCCACTATGTGATTGTTCACAAAAGTAACTTTTTTCTCGGCGAAGGTCACATAGCTAAGAACAATACATGCAGCAATCACAAATATGTTGTCAAAAATCTATCTAATAAGGTTGCTTACGTACTATTCGATTTGCGTCGGGGATCTACTCCAAGCTTCAGGAACTCCACGTAAACCTATCAGCTCTCTCTCGCGCCTTCGCGCGTCCATCATCTTCTCGTTCATCATCTTTTCGCGTTTCTTCTTTTTCTTTTTTTACCAATATCTATTATCGTCAAGGCGCAATCTCGTCTTTCTACTCAGTCTTGCACAGAAATGATAAAATCTTGTGTCTGCTCGATTTGCTGCTCTTCTTCTTTCTTCTTTTCTTCTATTTTCTTCATGGATGTTCGTTCTAGTGAACAGAGATCAAAAGTGAGACGTGAAAAAACACATTCTTATCTCCTTCCGTACGCGACGTCCATTGTTGACAACGAGAGGTTAGAGATTCGCCGCTGAACACATATGAAATGCAGAGAATCGATCTGTTTTCTTTCTCTTTTCTTTTTGGCAGATATTTGTTTGTAATGGCTGCGTTCAACGGAGAAAGCAGCTTTGCAACTGGTGTAAAAATCTTTGATATGATTGGTTTTTGCTCTTAGTTCCTCACGGATCTAAATGTATAAACCAATCATATTGAAGAATCTTACTCAACAATTGCAAAACTACTTTTTCTGCTGAACGCAGCCAATGTTACAGGGGGTGCAATCCACTTGGTGCATAATGCTTCGAAGCATTTTTTGATTGGTCAATTCATAGAATTCTTTATTTTGATTGGTTAATCAAACGCTTCCAAGCTTTTGTTGCGCTAAATGGACCGTAGCCAAGAATACACAGTTATTCTTTTTTTTTTAAACATCCTTTTCTTTTTTTAGCAATAAATAAGGCAAGTTTTTTAATTCATCGATTAATCAATCGCATTATGCGCAAATGCAATTTTGCTCTATAAAAGCAACATTTGCACATTATGCAATTAATTAATCAATGAATTTGAAAATTCGTCTATATTTGGTCTACAAAAAATTCGAGTGGAAAAAATTTAAGAAGATCGCTATTATGGAAAAGAATATATCGAAATTATCGATTCGAAAGGTTTAGATTTGAATCGAAGGCATTCGCGGTAAACCGATTCACTTCGAAATGAATTACAGTGCGATGAAAGGTAAATTTTCAAAATTGATCAAGTTAATCAATTTATAAATTAAGTTAAATTAAAGTTAATTAACTATAAAATTAATTCAGTTTCGTTAAATGAGCAAAAATATAACTTGGTTTAAAATCAAAATTCAATTAATCTTTAAAATAAAATTTAGTTAATTTAATTTTCAAAAGTATTTATACTAGACTATTAAATCGTAATTTTTAAAAAATTAGATTACTTTAAACAATAAAATAATTACAAGCAAAAAAAAGAGAAATAAAACAAAAAATTTTAACATTAAAAAATTAAATTTAATGTATTTTAAAATGTAACGAATTAAAGTAAAAAATTAATTAATTTGAAATTTATTTAAATAAAAGTAATTAACTTTTTAACATTATCACTTGATTGAATTGATTAACTATTAATTAGTTATCGTCCAATCTTAAATTCTGCTCGTAAGTGATATTCGTATGTCAGTCATGATATTTCCTACAAGACAAGAGCTGCCGCTTTTATTGAAATTGGTGTGTATACACGAGTGGCACAGTGCTTTTATGTGGTTTCTTGTATAATATATTGCAGCGCACTGCGATTTTCGAGTAATGAGCGAATTTGAGCTTTCACAATTCGAAACGTTTCCGCTAATGATCTCTCTACTGGTCCGGTGCATAGTTATCTTTTTCCCTTTCTTTTTCTCTCTATTGTTATCTTAACTACATATATGCATATATATATACACTTGTGTACGTAAAACCCATTGTAAAACCGAATTCGACAAAGTGTACTAACAATAATAGCGTATTTTACTATAATGAATTTAAATTGATCTGGTTGATTAAACCGCGTGTATAAACTCGAGGTCGATTAAAAATGTATAAAAAAAATATATATGTATATATATAAAATATTAATAGACTTATGTTTACTTCTACCAATAAAGGTTAATTTTAACCTCGATTTAATTTACCTTTTTCTTTTTTTATTGTATAAGTTTAAAAAAGAGATGAAAAAATTAATTAAATCAAGATTAAAATTAATTTACAATAAAAGGATTAAATGGAATAGTAGATTATATGAAATTATTTATCACTTTCAGAGCGATTAAAATCCATTGCGGTTGAAAACATCTACTTTTTATAGCAGCATTATATTATATTGTCTGCATTTAAAATTAAAATAAAATGTATTATTGTAAAGAGAAAGGATAAAGAATATCTAACTACAAGCTACAAGAAACGAATTTTTCATCTGGGCTATAAAAATCGCTATACGTTAAAAGATACAAAAAACGCGATATGTGAGCAGTTTAATCGATAAAATATACACTTTGTTAAAAATGTCGTATTGCATGAGCATGAGCTCTTTTATCAATTAAAATGTTTACATTTACCTTTTTACTGTTAATTAAATGTATAGTAATCTTTCGCGTATATGCAACGTAGTACAAGTAGCCGAATTCGGGGTCAGACGATGCATTGAAAATCGCGGAATTCAAATTGGAGATCAGAATTCTCAATTGGAATTATTCCTTTGATTTCAGTTCGCTTTGCCCTAATTGCTTAGCTATAATTTCCTATCAGCAATCCTCGATGCCTTAACTGCATAATCCGACACACGAGCTTAACAAAGCTTCCCTTGGCAGAATTCGTTCATTCAATAGAGAAACTCGAGGCGATTTCAATTAAACTCCGACTTAACTAACTTAATTAATCTTATCCAGTAATATATCTGTGCTATTTTTAACATAAAATAAAATCATTAATTTTTTTCTTATTTAAGGAAAGAAAAATTAGATTAAGGGATAGCGAATTATATAGTGGGAAATTTTGCTTTCAGCAATTTTGCAATTTTGCGGTTAAATTAATCGTCGATTGAGTTAATTGGATCTCGATTGAAATCGCCCTTAGAGACCGACCGGGTCCGCCCCGTGTGTACGCACATGTAACATGTTACGCTTCACTATGTGTATCGCTATGTATACATAGTATAAAATTAACATTATAGGAGATATTCAGAATCCCTTGGCAAGCTCCCAGAACACACATCGGAGTGCCGGAAAGCCGCTCGCGATTTTTCCAATAAACGGAGGAAGATAAAGAACAACGCGTGAAGAGTAATGACGAACATGGGAAGCGTTCCTTTGTCACAACGGAAGGATGTCCCGGAAGTTTGTCAGTAAAGCTTTGAAATATACCCTATGCAATATATACATGTATACTCATATCAGAGATTATATGTACAAGACTCTGAGAAACTACTTGGGAAAAAGTCAAAGCAAAGAAAGTCGGAATGGTCGAGCGAATCGAACCGGAAAACCGTTTTCTCTCGATATATCGTAATATTTTATATTTTATATATATATATAATATTTTATATATATATATATATATTTATTTATATCTCTGACTGCAAATCCATTCAACGCCATGAATGCTTCGATTGACACATCAGGACGAAGAAATCCACTCATCGAAGCGCTAAATGGACCGCGGTCTCTATAGTACCTGTAATAGTATTTTGTTATTCCAAAGAATACTAGTAGAACAAAGAATATTAAATTTGACCGCATGAGCCGTTTTTGTCTCATCGTTTTAGAATATTGCTTCGACTTTATATATATGGTGCGAATGCGCTTTCAGACTTTCCTTCTTGTGCTGTCCACTTTTCTTATAGTCTATGTCATGTACACACATTGTATGCGATAAATAAATAAATAAACATATTCGTCTAGATATTGGATGACGCATTTTCTGCTTAAATGCGACCGCGAATATTCGAAAATCATCATGAATTAATTTAAATTTGAATAAGAATCGGTAACATTAATATATGTCTCGTAATAATATATAAAAATAATGTATATATATATATGTATATGCTTCTGTAAGAATGTATAAAAACGATATAAGTATGTTTCTTTTGGAAGATACGGAGATGAAATGATTTTATGTATTACGCGATATCTAGAACTCGAATCGAAAGACGAAAGATATTAAACTAATACAATTTCCTCAACATCAGAACATTTCCACGTGCGTAAAAGGCAGTATATTTGTTAAGTTCCGCCGCGAGACCACGGGCTTTCCTCGTTCTATATATATATATATGTGTG